AGGGCACATGCCCAGGTTGTGGGCTCGATCCCCAACTGGGGGCGTGCAGGAGGCAGCCGATCAATGACTCTCTCTCATCGCTGATGTTTCTCTCTCTCTTCCTCCCTCCCTCTCCCTTCCTCTCTCTGAAATCAATAATTACATTTTCAAAATGTAATTTGTGAGGAAATAGAATACCTTTATGACCATGTATTTATTTGATAAATTATTTATGCATTTTTGAATATTTACTTTATTCAAAGCCTTAAATATTTAAGAAATATATAAATGGCTAGAAATCTGTATAAGAACTCTAAAAACCTTTGGAAGAAAATGCTAATGACACACAAGAAGAAAAAGTAAATAAATAGACCAGAATGCGGGGGGGAAAAAATCCATAATGAAGAACAGAACATTAAGGAGAGAGGAGGGTGTCAGCAAACTGAGAGCAAGGCAGGAGAAGACAATTCGGGAAACGTGTGTGTAGCATTGTGACCCCTGTCAAGAACTTTGATCCTGTTCTCATACCTCTCGTTATCTTGGTCCAAATATACCTTTCATGCTTATGAAAATGCTCAAATAAATATGTGTGCATAAACAAACAATTTGTCACGACAAACTTTGGAACCTGCTTACATCTTTCAAGTATGTATTTAATCGTAAGCATCTATTGTTGTCATACCCACAGTACAAGTGTTACATCTGAGAAGAAAGAACCTATTCATTGTTTTCTAAGAAATACATGAGAAGTAAAGATGCTGTTCAGATTTGGTGCATTCTGTGCACAGGTAGCAGCCCTTCTACCAATAATCCCCCTCCACAAAACTCCCCTGAGAACTGAGAGCAATGCAGCAGTTTTCTACTTTCCCTTTATGCTCAGAAGTATCAGCAACATGCCAGTCTGTCTACACAGGCAAGCTTCACAAACGTTTGTCACCAGAGCAAGAAACATTTTTGAGCTTGTGATAACAAGAAATTGGTTCAATTACAATCTTGCAGTTGTAAAAAATATGATTTTTTGAAATTTATGGTTAAAATGGCTTGTCCTGTGGTGGTTTATTATATCACAGTTATTTTGCTCAGTTTCCCTGATCTCCCACTGCTAGCCCCAAACCCAAACATTTTATTTAAGCTCTAAATGTTTATTTACTTATCTGATTTTTGGCCACAGACCCAATTTCTGCATCCTCTTGGTTAGGATTCTGCATGGATCCTAAGCTTGCTTCCTATAAGTTATCTCCAACTTCCAAACAGCCTATACAAACAAAGATGGTACAGTCTCTACCCAACCCAAAACACTCCGACTCTTCATGGCTGGAACACTGTGTCATTCATTCATTCAAAAACACTTAGCTCTTGCACAACAGGAATTGAGGTAGGTCCAATTTTGGTCTTTGCCCTTAAGAGTCTCAGATTTATGTTAGAGAAACCAACAGACATCCAACTACCAGGGTGCAGTTTTCTGTGGTAAGTGCCATATTTTGTAATGTGAACACAGATGACAGATATCAAGCCCAGGAGGGGTGGGTGACTAACCTGTGAGCCAGGCACTTTAAACATATAATTAGATTATTGATATTAGCCTTTTAGTGTGTCATCACGTTACAGATAAATCACTTCTAATTGAAGGTTATCTAGAAGATGCTCAACTGTGAAGTTAAATGGATTTTGAAATATGGAACTGTCCCTTCCACTTGCACTGGTATCCAATAAACTGCTGGAACTGTAGTTTGAGCTCAGAAAAATATGTCTGCAGCAAAATTTATGTGGGAATGGTCATCTTACTTTTTGTTTTGTCTTTGACAGCATGAAAAGTGTATTAAGCAGCTTGCTATTACTTGTGATTTAAAGTTAGCTGTTGAAATGATATCACCACAGTATAAATTTCACACATAAATGCCATTTTGCCCTGTGATTTTAAGTTGAATTCATTAAGAAACAGTATCAAGTCTGCTACAAAAGTTAACGTCTAAAGTCAGTGTTTGATAATAGTAGTTGAGGGCAGTTCTCATTTAGAAAAAATTTAATCTCAGCTTTAAGATAAAAAAAATTGCAGTAAGACTTTACAACCGCCAAGCACCAAACTGACGTGTGGAAGGGCAAGTCAAATTTAGCTTCTATTTCTGACCAAAACTCACCAAACTAATGATTTTTAAACAAATTGTTGATTCTACAGAGAGGAAGGAAGAGAGAGTGAGATGGATTGGTTGCCTCCCACATGCACCCCAACTGGGATTGAACCTGCAACCTGGGTATGTGCCTGACTGGGACTCAAATCCACCACCTTTTGATGTACAGGACAAAGCTCCAACCAACTGAGCCACACCGGCCAGGGCTGAACTGATGATTTTTTAAGTTCATGAGAGTGAACAAAGTTTACTATTGATACTACTATTCACTAATACATGATGGATTCAAATATTTTCCACAAAGTATCTGTTGATGACAAATACACTGAATAACTATAGGCTTTAATCCCCTTGCATTTTCACAGACTCTGTCAATTGGTCCACCTCAACCTTTTTCTTCTTCACATATATATATACACATATATACAAACATATGTATATATGTATATATTTTTTAATCCTCACCAGAGGATATTTTTTCCATTGCTTTTCAGAGAGAGTGGAAGGGAGGGAGGGGGAGAGAGAGAAACATCGATGTGAGAGAGACACATCGACTGGTTGCCTCCTGCATGCACCCCGATAGGGGTCGGGGATCGAGCCTGCAACCAAGGTACAACCCTTGGCCGGAATTGAACCTGAGGCCCCTCAGTCCTCGGGCCAACCCTCTAACCTCTAGCCACACCAGAAGGGTTATAATGTACTTCTTTAAATGATAAAAAAATAAATTTATTTTGGGGAAATACTACCATGTTTCACTGTTTGAGGAGGTAAGTTCCACCACAGTGGAGTCTAACCAATGCTACAATTGACTCACATGTCATTTGTGTACAGTAACCAATTAACGTGAGTGATAAGGTGTCCCAATGACTTGGTTTCCTATTAGTCCCATTGACTAAGCCAACAGTCATTTCACATCATGCTGAAGAAGAAAAATCAACAAAAAACAGGCTAACAAATGTCCCTTCTTTGAGGGCTTTTTGTGCTGAAATGTCTAATAGTTCTCTAGTTTGGAGTCTCTAATTCTGTTTAACAACCAACTTCATTTTTGTGCCGATCATGAATTAACGAATGTCTTCTAACCCAACGATCACTTTTAAAACAAATCCTTACACCCAGCCCAGTGGCTCAGTGGTTGGTCATTGACTTATGAACCAGGATCCTGTCACAGTTCCATTCCCATCAGGGTACATTTCCAGCTCAGTCCCCAGTAGGGCGCCATGCAGGAAACAGCTGATCAATGACTCTCTTTCAACATTGATGTTTCTATCTCTCTGTCCCTCTCCCTTCCTCTCTCTGAAATCAATAAGCACATTTAAACACACAAAAAACAAAAAATCCTCACCTGACCATGAAGACTTGGCTTGAAACACCATTGGGTTGCGCACTCTGAAATGTATTTTTTTCATTCCGACATTGTCATGTCACAAATTTAAAAATAATGGAGAATTTCATTATCATCACCTGAATGCTTAGTAGCAGCCTATGGTCTGTTCTTTGCATTGCAAGTTTATAAAGAGGAACTTTGGAACTTCAGTCAGTCATCCAGAAGACAGTCTTTCCCCCTCCGTGATTAAGCCAATATTTTTGCAAGGATGGTCAAAGTTGTTTGGGGATCCCTCTTCACTGCCACTGGATAAGGAGACCTGAAACTTGTCTTTCAGCAGAACTTTAGTTACTATCGAGATCACCCTTCCTTTTCTCCCTGGGTGTTTGACACAGGGCAGAAGGCTGGGGCTCTTCAGGAAATCCATTCCGTTGGTGTTTCTCAGTGTTAATCCTACGGCTTGTCCCGCCTCCACACTTTATAAAGTTCTCTTATACACTCACCTCATAAGCAGAGCTACCGTAGGTTTAGAATTCTTATTCCTACATGGCTAGTGAGTGGCAAGCAAGGCCTCAAGCCAGGTCCTTGGGTGCTGTGTGGCCGGTCCAACATGAGAGCCAGAAGGAGCTGGGGAGGAACTCCCGGGTCTGGGGGTGGGCTGGGAGTGATGCTGACAGCTCACCTCATCTGTACCATGTTGCACAGGCCCGAAGTGGAAAGGACGTTTCCCTTGTCAATTCCTACTTAAGCACCCTCACACCTAAATTCGTCTATTCCCCACTGAACCGAGCTGAGTGAGGCTGCCACAGCACCGCAGTGCCCCCTGCCGCCACGCCGGCGGGGCTGAGCAGCTGCAGGGTGAGCGCCCTTTAGCTACGAGTCCGGGGCCGCAGACCCTGTGCGCAAACGCTTGGGAGCCGGGGCAGCGACAGAGGGTGGGTGCGCGCCACGAGGGTCACCGCGGCCCGAGGGCGAGCTAAGGCTGCAAGCTCCCGGGCCTGGGTGTGGTGGGAGAGTATGGGCGGGGCCTGCACCGCGGAATTGGGCGGGGCTGGGCTGGG